AATGATTAACGAGGAATTAACGAGGAACGTTCACATTATGATGGGCTTATATATGCAACTGATAAAACTTTTATATGAAATAAATAAACTTCACTTAATAAAGTGGAATTAAATTAAATATATAATTGATATATTAAGGCCGTGTGCGAGTTTATGTAAATTGATGGTAAATTGAGGGAATAGTAAATTATGTCGGTATGGCAGTGAATGTTGGTATTTGCCAGAATTTCGATTAGGGTAAATTAGATAAATTAGGTGTTATCATTTTGAAAATTTTAAAAGATGTTTAATAAATAAATAAATAAATTTGAAAACTTTTAACCAAAAATAATAAATAAGTGCAATAAATAAATAAATAAATATTTACATAAGTGCTGTGCAAAAAATCCCTATGAAATTTCAATTTATTTTATCTCAATATAATCGAACTCGCACACGGCCTAAATCATTTATGTGCATTTTATATATCAATTACATATTCAATTAATAAAAACAAAGATTTTATTAAACACTTACTTCTTCAGTGTTTTTATTTACAGTTAAGATATTGTTTGTTTACATTGTACATATAAAACATATGACACATATTTGAAATTTCGATCATTTCCGTTGTGGGAAATTTATTTTAATGGTTGCAATATTTTTGGCCATAAATGATAATTTGTTGATATAATTTGTTGTTGTAGTTACTTTATTTTATTTACTTTATTTATTTAAATATTACAAATTATTTTGTTTGTAATAATGGCGGGAGACGCGACCGTTGGAACTCTATTTTTCTTTTTGACAGTTTTTTATAATAATCTTTTTGGTGTTGCCATAGTACTTTCCATTAAGTGGCGAAGTCACTGAATTTAGTTGAAAAACGAACGTTGCGCCCTGATCTTGTCAGGTCAGCTGTTGTATTTGGTCGTAAAGACTGGTCGCAATTTACGTTGCTTGGAGTGGCGCATAACATTGATTTGTAGTCTGTATCTATGTCTGTATCGGGACACATGAAAGCCGCTTTAAGGCGATCTATGCTAATTGTTTGTTCTTTGTTTTCGATCAGTATTTTAAACGTCTTCTCATTCCGCTCTAGTATTTGGTAAGGGACGTCGTAAGGTTGCTTCAGTGGTGGTTTTAGAGCCGGTTGTATGTGGTAACAGAACTTGACGTTCTGCATTTGTTCTCTTAACTTGGTTATGAAATCGTGTTGATTTGTATTTTTGTGGCTAAGGTTGCTTACTATTTCCGAATGCTGGGGTGAGATAACCCATGAATAGCTTTAAAGATATGTAGTCGGTATTTCTGTGGAATGTAAGGACGAATCACCCAGTTGAAACTTCGCAATAAATTTTGTCTGGACAACATCGTTGTAATCCAATTATACAATCGTAATCGATTTCTGGGATGCTGATACTATCTATTCGCGAGAGGAAATCTGATGATATGTTGTGTTTTCCACTGATATGAACGATATTAGTAGTAAATTGGCCTATATAATCAAGCTGACGGACTTGACGTGGTGAAGCCTTGTCAAACTTTTGCTGGAATGCGAACGTAAGTGGCTTGAGGTCAGTTATTAACACGAATTCACGACCTTCTAACATATGTCAAAAATGTTTTATCCCCTGTACCGTTTTTGTGTGTCTGTTGATCGTTTAGAGAAAAAACCGAGTGGTTGGAATATGCTGCCTATTACTTGATGAAGAACTGCGCCGAGTGCTTTATCCGAGGCGTCTACTTGTAATGCAAGCATAGCAGTTTTTGACGGATGAACAAGTAGTATCAAGTTTGTTAGTTCATGTTTACATTTTTGAAAGGTTGTTTTGTTCGATTTGGGCCAGGATAATAGTATGTCGTTTTTCTTGTTTCCTTTTATCTTTTGTTTAAGTGCAGTTTGAGAGTCTGCTGCGTTAAGTACGAACCTGCGATAAAAGTTAAGAAATGCTAGAAATCATCTTAATTCTTTCGTTTTTGTTGGAAGCGGGTACTCGATGATGCTCTTCACTCGATCAGGTAGAGGATGAATGCCCTTTTCACTGATGATATAACCAAGAAATTTTACTGTGTTTTGAGCAAAAACGCATTTTGATACGTTTATTATTAAACCATGTTTTCTGAATCTTTCAAATATTTGTTGCAAGTGTTGCCTGTGCTCTTCTTCATTTTATGATGCAATAATGACGTCGTCAATATAGGCAAATACGAATTTGGGATCTCGTAATATTTCGTGAATGAAGCGTTGAACTCCAACTTCCGTCTGGTTTTTTTACCATATGAAAGGGGCTAGCCCAATTGCTACTTGATGGACGACATATTCCAGCTGTGACTAAGTTTTGGAATTCTTCTTTCGCTGCTGCTAGCTTGTCTGGAGGTAGTCTACGTAGTCTCTCATATATTGGTAATCCTTTTGTTAATATGTGATGAGTGACTTTGTTCACGTGGCGATTTGTAGGTGTTAGTTTGGTAATATCGATATATTTTTTTAGTAGATCTGCAATTTTGCAAGATGTGTTCACGGTTGATATGATTTATAAAAATCAGCGCCGATGATTGAAGTATTTACATCTGCAATAATAAATGGCCATGCGAAATTTCTTCGTAAGCTAAGAGCTAGAGTTAGCTCTATTTCACCAAATGTTTTGATCGTAGAACTATTTGCTGCGTAGAGTATTCTATCGTTATTAATGTTTGTATTTGAATTTTTTTGTTTGGCGGCAATAAGTGAAATATCTGCACCCGTGTCGATTAGGAATGATTTTTTTGTCTTATTGTCGTAAACGAACAGTCTTGTAGATGTTTCGTTTACAACTTCCTCTGCCCCCGTAGACGAAGTCGGTTTTAGTTTTATGTGCCATATGCGCAAGGCTGCTTGCAATTTTTTCCACTTAACCCATATGTTTTATGATACCAACAATTTGTACTGCTCTTTTCTTCGCTATCATAATGACATTGCGTTGATTTTTTCTTGAGCGGTGTTCGGTTAATAATTCTGGTCTGGTCAGTTTTCGTTGAAACTGTTCAATTTGCGCATCACGTTGAATATGAGCTGCTGTTGGGGCGTCAGCTGCATTGACATAAGTTACTTGCATTGTTGAATTTATACGGATTGTTTCGGTAATGTTGTCTGCCAATTCTGCCATCTTAGGTAGTTCTACTTGAATTGTGGCTAGACATGTCTGTACTTCTACAGGAAGACGTTGTAACCATAACCCTTTCAGTAATTGTTCGTCTTGTTTGTTTCCACTAATGCGTTGTTGTTCGTTTAATAGATGAGATGGCTTTTTATCTCCAAGCTGTAAACCACTAACTAATTTTTGTATGCGTTTTTGTTCACTATCCGCAAAGTTTTTTATTATTGCTTGCTTGATAGCCAAACTTCTGAGTGTCGCCCTTTATGTGGTTGACTAGAAACCCGTAGTCCAACTGTATAAACCAAAGATCAATGTTGTTCCTTATTAATGACTGGGGTAGTATCTTTGGTAACTTTTTGATTTTATGTAGCCATTTTTATGTTCAGCGTCGGTTTGGTCTAGTGGTTGTTGTAGTTACTTTATTTTATCTATTTTATTTATTTAAATATTACAAATTATTTTTTATAATAATCTTTTTGGTGTTGCCATAAGCTCATTTATATGAACGATGTTTGTATGATAAATCATCCTCATTAGTAGTTATAATGATCAAAAGCGTCTATATGAGGCAGTGTGAATATACTATAAGTTTTCTCTTACATTCTGCTGTATTTATTTTAAATAAAAATACTGATGAATTGGTTTTGTACGATACTCTGTGAACGATAAATTTCTGATAGGAAATTTCTGTTATTAATTTAAAATAGAGTGAAAAATAATAATCCACATACCTGAAATCCACTAAAGCTAATAAAACTACTGAATGTGTTTTGAATATGCAATTTTTAAAATTCGATTTGTAAATTATATAAGATTTCTAATGTTAATTTTTTCTTTCCGAGCGTGACGCGTTTTTATGACGAAAAGAAACTATTTAAAAGTTAGACGGATCGAATAGCAAAGAAAAGACAATGACAAATATTTTTTTAATTTATTGAGGTTTGGCTGACCATACAATGCTGTTTCGAGTATTGCCAAGTACTCATAATCAGTGGTCTTAGGAAATATTTGAATTTCTAAATTAGTTCATAGTCCGTATATTACTTGTTTGGACTGCAAGTAACAGGCTTAGAACTCGTTCCTGCCAAAATACAAGCGGTGACTAACGGTGTTTTCCACAAGTAACCAAGGGTGCACAAGTTCAATGAATTGAAAGTTAACTTTTGAAGTTGCCTATTTTTTTTTCAAATCTCTTCTTTTCTAGAGACATCTGTTATGCATATTTTTTACTTACTATATGTAAAGCGCCTTTTTTGGTGCTATTTTACAAAGAAGATTTCTTTAATTTGGGGCAATATGAACAGTAACTAAACTAAATTTTATTAGAACGATATTAAGAAAGTACGACGTTTTATAATGAATTATGTACATAAATATGTATGTATATTTTTGCAATATGTGTGTGTTGATTATATTTTTTGACTAGAGGAATATAGTTTTTTTTCGAAACTCTTCATTTTGTTTTTAGTGGTATAATTTTAAGAAAAAATCAAGATCATAAATGCATTACAGTTCATAAAAATTTTTTTATTTTATGTAAAAGTAAAATTACATTCTAAAAAATTTTTCGAAAACCAATGTGTTGTTTTAAATTAAAATAAAATTCATTTAATGTTCGGAAAAAACTAATAAAATTTTACTGCTTACTAATGGAGTTTTGTTGTGTTTATTAATAAAATATTTTATATATGTAGTTTACTGTCTGTTCTTTGTACTCAGACATTTGCAATGCAACACTGTAGTAGTTAAAAACCTACCAAGCACAAATTCAAATATTTTAAACGCTCTAAACGTCAAAACTGAAAAAAAAGCGGAAGAGAAAAAGTATATTCGGTAAGCGTCTGCTTGGTTTATATAGACAATTTGAAGCAAAAACTTTTTCTAGTATTAAAAACTAACAGTAGAAAATTTTATTTAACGTGTAAATTCTGTATATTTAACAATTCGTCAAATCTTTACGTTTGAATAAAAGTAAAAAGCGGCATTTAGATATATAATGTGAATACAGTAATCATGGTTTATGAAGCTAAATTGATACGCCTGGATAAAAGTGGCGAAAAAGTTGAAGAATATATTATAAATAAAAAAGAATTTACATTTGGTAAATTTCCGTTTTGCGATGTTTCTATAGACGATCCAAGAGTAGAGCGCGTCCATTGTAAATTAGTAATAGACGCATGGGATCGGGTAGGTATATTAATAATCCTTGAAGGATAAGTTTTAATATTTTACCTTCAGGTTAATATAATTAATTGTTCAAATGAGCATCCTATAAAAATCAACAATGTATCAATTGAAGTGAAGAGACCTCTCCTACATAAACATGTTTTAGATGTACTTGAAAACAAATTTATTTTTGAATGTAAGCGCAGTGATAGTGAAAACAATTTTACAACACCTCAAAAGTCTGCTAATGCTGATAGGGCACCAAATTCGTGTCCTGATTTAAGGGTAAATATTTTAAACGGTTTTATTCTGAAATTTTCAACATAACTCATTTATATTTACAGTTTTCTCATCATTACCCACGACGGTTTACTGTTCACAGGTGAGTGCTAAATTTCTGAAAAGTATAAAAGTATAATAGAAATTTTAACTAGTCGCTTAGTTTTACTAACAATATTGTTATCATATTTTGACAATACGATATATAATTAATAACAAAAATATTTTTATATAAATAGTTTTTTTTATTCCACGTATACTGGTGATGATATCGAGAAAAAGGATACTAATAATGAAAATATATCTCAAATTAATTCCTTAACCGAGGTGAACGAAATAGAAAAGGACAAAAAATGTAATGTTGATGATATAATTGATAGCACATGTAATTTGTCTGGTTTAAATTTACATAATGATATCGCAAAAATAATGGTTATTGATTCTACACCAGACAAAAAATGTGAAATATTAAAACAAAATATTTGTTTAAATTACTCAGACATGAAGATCACGTCATTCTCTCCACGCATTGCTGGAGTACAAATAGAGAAATCCTTTGTAGATTTCATATCATGCACTCCAAAAAGTACGTACAGCACACCTAAAGGCGTTATGCCAAAGATGTACAAAGCTAATCAAAGTTTGAAATATGTGACTCCGAATACTTCTAAAAAAAGGTATTTACAAGAAGCACCAAATTCACCTATGTATTTGGTAGATTTCACAACTCCTATTAAATTCGCACCAAAATCTCCGATTCCTAATTTATTGATTAAATCTTGTAATAAAAAAGAAACATCTAAATTAGAAATGCCTAGCTGTAGTAAGCCATCTAGTACGCCAATATATCGAAAGAGTGTATCATTAGATACTCCAATAAGTGTGGAATCTAGTGCTTCGTCAATTATAGAGATAGATGATGATTCTGATGCTATTATAAATAGTGCTAGTAAAACTCCAACCAAACGTTTTACTGCTAAACTAACAACACCCAAACGCTCTTCGCCATCATTAATGAAGCGTATATTATTAAAAAGCACACAAAAATCTAAAGCAGGTTCTATTTTGTCAAGAACTCCTACTACCCCAAAATTACATAAATCGATTACACCTCGTCGCCTTGCACAAAATAGCCGACAATATGAAGTTATGAGAGATAATTCACTTTCTTTAATGTCTGAAGAACAATTACAGAAAACAACACCTCATATTTCACAGAAATTAAGTGGAACTAAAGAATCTGACTTTGATTTAAAGAATAAAAATAATTTAACAATTGATTGTAATTATGGTAGCTCTAAAACTGATTCGATTGATTCGAATATAGTATCAGAAAATTTTGGTGAAGCTGTTGAAACTTCTGTTAAGAATTTAAATGAAACTTTCGACTTAAGTGCAAAAGACAACATAATGACAGAAAAAAAAATTGAAAACGATGTAGAAAACGATATATGTTTGACGAAAGAAAACAAACACTCAAATAGTAAAATGGAATTTCTGTTTGACGAAGAATGCTTTAACGAAACTCAAAAATTACAGACTAGTAAAGATAACATAGTTAGTAAAGATAACATAGATTGTAAGGAAGTAAACACCAGTGAAAATAATCGAAATGATCCATTAAATAAACGGCGCATTGAAAGAAGAGTATCTATGCCTACAGAACTTGCATCAAAGTGTACAATTCAGTTTAGAAGATCTTCATTGAAATCAGAAAGTTTAAATAAAACTCCCATACGTATAAGGTCGTTTAAAGCCTTGGATACTGAATTAAAAGATCAATACGTAGAAGAGAGTATGGGCGCAATTGTTGAAGATTCATATACTGAAGAAACAATTATTAAAGATAGTAAGTGTAAGATTTGATTTTTATAAAATTGTATAAATATTAGGGTAATACTTTTCTAATTAAATGTTTGAATTACGAAATTTTTTTTTCAATTTAAAGGTGCAAGTTCAGTTACAGTAAAAAATGCAAGCATTGGTATGAAAAGTGAAATCTCTAATATAGAAGGTAAAACAAAAATTTGTAAATTGTAGTTTGTTTTAAATTTATTTAATTTATTTGATATATTCGTAGAACTCAAATCTATGTTTGATAATAGACAAAATGAACGCATTTATGAAATTTTGGATGATTCTGAATATAACTATGGTAAAGAAGTATTAAAATGTAAGTATGTAATTGTGATTATATATGCACAATATTACTTTACACATTTGTAGGTGAAGATGATGGAAGTGAAACGGAATTTGAAGGTGTACAAGAATTACTCGCTACGCCAAGAATAAGCAGTACACCAATTCCAAAGAATAATAAAACTGATGAAACATCGCAAGTTCTTTTAAATTCTCCAACTGTAGATGTTTTTAAAACACCACGAGGTAAAAATTTGATGATGACCGTCACTCCTTCCAGTGAAATGATTAAGCAAAGCTTTGCTTCAAAAGAATTTTTAAATTGTACTGAATATAATCTTAATGATAGCAATGACAAATTAGAAAAACTATTCGAAAGTCCAGTGGCATTAAAATTTAATAATCAAGATCTTACGGAAAGATCGCAAAATATGTCGACAAATCAGCAGGTTTCAGAATACAGTACACCAGTTAGTAATTCTAAGCTAGATAAAATTGAAGAATCACCATTTTCTTCTACAGACATTATCACTGATTTGCCTGAAATTGAAGTCCAAAATTGGATTAAAAAAATTGAAGTTTCAAATTTGGATGAGGAACTTATCGATGATGTGTCTAGACTTCACAAAAGAAATATAAGCCTAAAATCATCTATTGAGCATAGTTTATCAATTGATCCACTGCATTTATCTGTAAATAAAAGTGGTAACACGATAAAAACTACTGAAATTAGTGATCCTTTAAGTCTGTCAGTGGCAGGAGAACAAAATTTAGATTTGCTGACTTTAGATGAAAGATCAATGACACCTATAGAATCAGAAATGAGTGGTATTCATCTTTTAGATGAAAGTGAAGATTCTTTTTCATTAAAGGTTAGCGATACAGAATCTGAATTGCCAATATCACAAAATTCGAAAATGAATAAAATAGAGGAATTAAAATCGAATGAAACATTTGAAGCTTTGGTTTTAAGCGATACAGACAGCGACTTAGCTGATATAGATAATGAAGACGAATACCTTAATTTGAAAAAGTCAAATTTTACCACCTCTGCAGTTAAAAAAGTTCTAACCAAAAAAACAGATACTGAAAAACATCTTGAATCACCAAAAACATCCGGTTTTGCAGTTGACATTAAGAGTAGTGAACAATCAAAAATTTCCTATGAGTACAATGATATGAGTTTGATGGCAAATGAAGATTTAGAAAATAAAACGAAAAAAATCAATGCATCAATAGATATAAAAACCATTAAGGTGCCGCTTAATATGGAGGACGATATTAAATCTTCTCTGCAATTAGAAGTTAATAGTGATAACACATCTTTTACGTCCCTCTTGGACGCAGAAATGATAATTGAATCCAACATTCAAAGTGAAGATTATACCTTAGATGCGTCGAAATCTAAAGACGCAATGTCTTCACAATACCTAGATAATAGAAGTCAAGTAGATTCGACAGTCCAGTCCAGTAATGGAAGCGAAGACGCTATTACATTAAGTCTTTCAGAGGTCAAAGATAGATTCAATAATAGTCAAGTTTCTCCTAAAGTTGTATTGGAAAAGACAGTTGAATCAAACATTGCTGCTGAAAATGTTAAATTGGATGTTTCTATTTGCAGTGATAAATTTATTCCACAATCTGAAGAAAATATGTCGCTAGAATCCGTGTTGGAAAAAACAGTTGACTCCAACATTGCAAATAAAGAATTATTCAAAGAATTTGATTTAACTGAGTCATATGACAAGTCTACACTAAAATACCAAGATAATAGACATCAAAAGTCTTCTAAGTTTGTGATAGAATCCAATATTGAAACTGACAATGAAATTATTTTAAATGAATGTGATATTAATAATAAATCTATTCTAAAATCACAAGATAACACTATTGAAAAGCCAACTGAATTTGTGGCGGAAAACATAGTCAAATCAAATATGAGAATCGAAAATGCTTGTGTAACAGATATATCTAAGTCTGATAAATCTACTTTACAATCCCAAGGAAATAATGACACTACGTCTTCTAAATTTGTAATGGAAAAGTCAATTGAATCCGTTATTGAAAGTGAAGAGGCAAATATATCAGAATTATCTGATTCTGATGATAAATCTATTTCACAATCAGAAGTCAATGATAAAATCTCTTCTAAACTTGTCCTGGAGAATATAGTTGAATCAGATATCGAAACAAGAGATATCATTGGGGTAGATGTATCTTTTCTACAATCTCAAGATATTGATAATGAAAGTTCTTCTAAATGTTTTTTGCAAAAAACGGCTGAATCTAATATTAAAATAAACGATGTTACTTCAACAGATCCAGAATCACTACGAAGAGAAAATGAAATGGCTTCAAAATATGTCTTGGAAAAAACAATGGACTTCAATATTGAAAGAAAAGATGCAAATGCATCAAATGTATCTAAGTCTAATGAGAAAAATGACATACAATCTAAAGATAATAGTTATGAAACGTGTTCTAAAATTACATTGGATATTAAAACTGAATCTATTATTAAAGAAAATGATGGAACGTCGGATATATCTGAGCTTGATAAATGTACTTCGAAATCCCAAAGCAGTAGTGATCAAATGTTAAAATTTGTGTTGGAAAAAACAGTAAAATCCAACGTTGAAACTGGAGATGTAACATTAGAAGCATTTGGCTCTAATAATAAAAATACTTTACAATCTAAAGATAATAATGATGGAATATCTTCTAAACATTTGTTCGAAAAAGCAGTTCAATCAAATATTACGTCTAAAGAAACTATTAATTTAGATGTATCTGAGTCTGATAAATTTATTCTTGAATCGCAATCAAAAACACTTTTAGAAAAAAAAGTTAAATCAAATATTGAAGCGGGAAGCTCAATTGTATCAGATGCACTTAAGCCTAATAATGAAAATGACATACAATCTCAAGGCAATAATGATGTGGAACCTTCTAAATGTATAATGGAAAAATCGACTGAATCGCATACTGAAAGTGAAGATACAATTATATTAGAAATAACTGAGTCTACTGATAAATCCACTCTAAAATCTCCAAAAAATGGCGATGAAGCTTCTTCTAAATTTGTAACAGAAAAGTCAATTGAATCGAATGCTGAAAGTGAAGATATAGTTATATTAGAAGTATCTGGCTCTATGAATAAATCTACTTCACAATCCCAAGGTAATGATGAATTATTGTCTTCTAAACTTACGGTGAATAAAACAGTTGAATCAAATGTAGAAACGAAAGATATCATTGAGTTTGATGAATCTTTAGGACAATCTCAAGATAATGGAAATGAAATATCTGGTAAAATAGAAGAAACAGTTGAATTGAAAATTGAAAGAAGAGATGCAATAGCATTAGAAGTAAGTGAGTCTGATAAATCTATGCGACAATCCCAATCAATTATCCTGTTTGAAGAAACAATTGAATTAAATATTGAAAGAAGAGATGGAATTGCATTAGATGTATCTGGTTCTAATAATAAAAATGACATACAATCTGAAGATAATAGCAATAAAATCTCTTCTACGATTGCATTGGATAATACAAATGAATCCAATATTGAAATCAATACATTTGAAACAAAAGTGGAAACAAGGGACAACATTGGGTTAGATGTACCTGTGGTACAATCTGAAGATAATAATGATGGAATGCGTTCTAAATTTTTATTGGGACGAACTGTATTACATAATACTGAAAGTGAAGATACAATTACACTAGAAGTATTTGACTCTAATAATAAAAATACTTTACAATCTAAAGATAATAATGATGGAATATCTTCTAAACATTTGTTCGAAAAAGCAGTTCAATCAAATATTACGTCTGAAGAATATATTAATTTAGATGTATCTGAGTCTGATAAATTTATTCTTGAATCGCAATCAAAAACACTTTTAGAAAAAAAAGTTAAATCAAATATTGAAGCGGGAAGCTCAATTGTATCAGATGCACTTAAGCCTAATAATGAAAATGACATACAATCTCAAGGCAATAATGATGTGGAACCGTCTAAATGTATAATGGAAAAATCGACTGAATCGAATACTGAAAGTGAAGATACAATTATATTAGAAATAACTGAGTCTACTGATAAATCCACTCTAAAATCTCCAAAAAATGGCGATGAAGCTTCTTCTAAATTTGTAACAGAAAAGTCAATTGAATCGAATGATGAAAGTGAAGATATAGTTATATTAGAAGTATCTGGCTCTATGAATAAATCTACTTCACAATCCCAAGGTAATGATGAATTATTGTCTTCTAAACTTGCGGTGAATAAAACAGTTGAATCAAATGTAGAAACGAAAGATATCATTGAGTTTGATGAATCTTTAGGACAATCTCAAGATAATGGAAATGAAATATCTGGTAAAATAGAAGAAACAGTTGAATTGAAAATTGAAAGAAGAGATGCAATAGCATTAGAAGTAAGTGAGTCTGATAAATCTATGCGACAATCCCAATCAATTATCCTGTTTGAAGAAACAATTGAATTAAATATTGAAAGAAGAGATGGAATTGCATTAGATGTATCTGGTTCTAATAATGAAAATGACATACAATCTGAAGATAATAGCAATAAAATCTCTTCTACGATTGCATTGGATAATACAAATGAATCCAATAGTGAAATCAATACATTTGAAACAAAAGTGGAAACAAGGGACAACATTGGGTTAGATGTACCTGTGGTACAATCTGAAGATAATAATGATGGAATGTGTTCTAAATTTTTATTGGGACGAACTGTATTACATAATACTGAAAGTGAAGATACAATTACACTAGAAGTATTTGACTCTAATAATAAAAATACTTTACAATCTAAAGATAATAATGATGGAATATCTTCTAAACATTTGTTCGAAAAAGCAGTTCAACCAAATATTACGTCTAAAGAAACTATTAATTTAGATGTATCTGAGACAGATAAATTTATTCTTGCATCGCAATCAAAATCACTTTTAGAAAAAAAAGTTGAATCAAATATTGAAGCGGGAAGCGCAATTGTATCAGATGCACTTGAGCCTAATAATGAAAATGACATACAATCTCAAGGCAATAATGATGTGGGACCTTCTAAATGTATAATGGAAAAGTCAATTGAATCGAATACTGAAAATGCAGACACAATTATATTAGAAGTATCTAACTCTACAGATAAATCTACTCTACAATCTCAAGATAATAATGAAAGAATGTTTTGTAGTTTTGAAATGGATAAATCAATTGAATCCGATACTAAAAATGGAGATGCAATTAAATTAGAAGTATCTGACATTACGGTTAATAATGATAAAATGTCTTCTATATATGCAAAGGGGAAATCAATTGAACTCAATACTGAAAGTAGAGATGCAATTATATTAAAAGTATCTGACTGTAACGATAAATCTAGTCTACAAGCTCAAGATAATATTGATGGAATGTCTTCTAATTTTGTAATGGAAAAGTCAATTGAATCGAATACTAAAAGTGGAGATGCAATTATATTAGAAGAATGTGACTCTACAAGTAAATCTACTTTACAATCCCAAGGCAATGATGAATTATTGTCTTCTAAACTTACGGTGAATAATAAAGTTGAATCAAACTTGGAAACGAAAAATACCATTGGGGTAGGTGAATCTATGGAAAAATCCCAAGATAATACAAATGAAATATCTAGTAAATTAGTGTCTAGTAAATTGGAAGAAACAGATGAATTAAATATTGAAAGAAAAGATGCAATAGCATTAGAAGTATTTGAGTCTGATAAATCTATGCTACAATCCCAATCAACAATCCTGTTTGAAGAAACAGTTGAATTAAATATTGAAAGAGGAGATGCAATTGCATCAAATGCGTCTGGATCTAATTATGAAAATGACATACAATCTGAAGACAATAGCAATAAAATCTCTTCTACAATTGTATTGGATAATACAAATGAATCCAATATTGAAATCACTACATTGGAACTAAATGTGGAAACAAGGGACAACATTGAATTAAATGTGGCTTTAATACAATCGCAAAGTAATGGGAATAAAATATTATCCAAATGTGAAATGGAAAAGACCCTGAAATCCAATATTAAAGAAAATTCTAGTGCATCGGAAGTATGTGAGTTTGAGAAATCAACTCCACAAACCCAAAGCAATAGTAATCAAATTATGTTCAAAAAAAATGTTGAATACAATATTGAAGGTGGAGATTCAAATACTTTAAATACATTTGACTCTAATGATAAAGGTGCTACTACATTTGATGTATCTGAATTGAAAAATATATCTACTGTAGATCACCAAAATCATAGTCATGAAATATCTCCTAAATTGGTGCCAGAGACAGCAGTTGAGTCGAATATTCAAGATGCGACTGAGTCACTTATATCTGAATCGATTAATAAATTTACACTGACACAGGAAAATAACATGAATGAAAAGTGTTCTATATTCGGTTTGGAAGAGACAGTTCAACCAAATACTAGAGGTGAAAAATGTAGTTCACTATCTAAAGATGATAGCGATCAAAAGTATGGAGAATTAGTGTTGAAAGTAACAGTTGAATCTAATAATGAAAGGGAAGAAGAGTCTAATGCTACATCAACTTTGCAATCCCAAGATAATATTGCACAAAAGTCCAGTGATTTTATTTTAGAAAATACAGTCTCGTTTAATATTGAAGCCAATATTGATAAGTCTACTGATAGTTTTGATGCACTTACAATAATAAGTAAAACTGATAACATTGATAAAAAAAAAGAAATAGACGCTAATAAGGTACATAAAGTATGTGACGAATTCCTTACAGTGGCGACTGAAACGCAAAGAAAAAAATCCGTAAACGAAAACATAAATGATAGTAAAGATATTATAAAAGCTGCACCAAGACGTGGAAGAAGGAAAGTAGTAGTACAAGATGAACCAGAACCGAAAGAAATTTTACAAAAGAAAATTACAAAAATAATAAAACCAATTTCGAAACTTAATGAATTTGTTCATAACAATAAAGAAACAGTAAACAATCAAGAAGATATTCCAGAAGAAAATAAGAATAAGACTGTAGTGAAATCTCGAAGAGGAAGAAAACGAGCAATAAATTATGCAGAACCTTGTATATCTCCATCTAAAGATATTGAGGTCAGTCCAACTTCTAAAAATATTGAAAAACTATCGGTAAATAAATTGAAAGAGGATGAGCTTGAGACTTCTCTAAAAAATATCGAAGTTATGGATGACGCGACAGCAAGCAAAACTGCGAAAGAAAAGTCAACCATTTCTGCCAAAAAGGGACGGATTGATAAAAACGATGTGGAAGAAGAAATTAAAGAACCAGATCAAATTTCTACATCTCGACGTGGTACCAAAAGAAAACCAATGATAGTAACTAATATGGACGATATTCCAAGTTCATCTCAACTTTTCGAAGAAATTGCAGTTACTAAAATGTTAATTAATGTTGAAAATGACCATGATACGGTTAATGCAGAAATATCTAAACATAGTAATAAACGTGGAAAAAGGCAGGAAATTCATAAGAAGAAACAAGATGAAATTGTAATTTTTACGGAACAGGATATTTCTCAAATGCCGACAACATCAAAACGAGGTAGGACGAAGAAAAAAGATATGGAGGAAAAAATTATTGCAGGAGATGAGAAAATGAAAACTGTTGAGAGTTTAACTGTTAACAAAAGACACAGCCATGACAAACAGGAAGCAGAGATTTCAAAAAGACCAAAATTATCTACAGGTGGAGATATAGAACTAGAAGATAAAATAAATATTACTAAAGATACAACTTCTACTACTAAACGCGGGAGAAGGAAGGTTGTCTA